ACATTACTTACTCTAAGGTTTTGAGTGAAAACATAAGAGAGTGAGTAGTAGTAGCTTGAGAGTACAAATACTAGAGAGCTTGTGAGCTCATTAAGAGTGTTTGTAATTGTGGTTTTGTAGCTCAAATTCAATAGTAAGATTGTCTTTGAGTAGGGTAACAAAGTTACCCATAATTGCTTGTGTTGTTTTATTGTTCTTTGGCATTGTTGTTAATTTCTTGCTTGTTTTTCGATCCCAAATTGCTAACATATGTAAATAATACAAAAGTCAAATTGATTCATTAAAAAAAAAGCCAAAACGGAGGGAGTATTCCTTTGTATAATTAATTTCGACAAGCACGTTTTTTGTAATTGTAAATACTAACCATTGGTTTTATTTTGAAAGGAAGAAAAACATGACAGATTTCTTAGAGTGGGGATTAGGGCCTGCAGGTACTCATCTACCTGTCTTGCAAGCAAGTTTGAACCTCTACAACGAGCTTCGTAAGCTCGGGTTCACGATCTTCCTCTTAACAGGCAGACCAGAATGGATTAGGAATTCGAGTGTAACAAATTTAATGGATGCTGGATACATTGGTTGGGAAAGATTGATTTTAAGGTATTTATATACACTTAACCATTTGTAACAAATTTCTCGGGTTTAGTTTTGAGGTATACTAACCATTTGTGTTTGATCATGTAATGTTGTAGGCAGCCTTCTGATAAAGGCAAAAGGGCAATCGATTACAAATCTGAAAACAGAACGAAATTAGAAGATGAAGGTTATAGAATTCATGGCAATTCTGGAGATCAATGGAGTGACTTGCTTGGATGTGCTATTGCACAACGATCTTTTAAATACCCTAATCCAATGTACTACATTCCATAATCATTAATTATTAGATAATTATTCATCATATGTAACCATGATGTAGTCACATCTTAAGGCACACATACAATATTACTCTGTACTACATACATGGGCTACATAAAATTTTACACCTTTTAAGTTTTTATTTATGTATGGTCGAAGTTAATGATTTTATGTAGCCATTGATGCATGGTTGATATAATTTAATGGAGTATAAAACATATTCCTGAGCCTCAACCATTAACTTAAACTTTTGGTTGAGTGGTTCACTAACATGGTATCAGAGCCAGCGTGACACAAAGGTCACGGGTTCGAATCTCATCCACCCCCACTTTCAAGTGGAATATTAAGCGCTGGGTATGAGGAGGGCCCATGCTGCATCCACACTTCTAGCCCAAACGGGCTCTCGTGTGAGGGGGCGTGATGGAGTATAAAACATATTCCTGGGTCTCAACCATTAGCTTAAGTTTTTTGTTGAGTTGGTCCTTTAACATAGTATCGGAGCCAACGTGACATAGAGGTCACGGGTTCAAATCTCATCCAACCCCCACTTTCAAGTGGAATATTAAGCGCTGGGTATGAGGAGGGCCCATGCTGCATCCACACTTCTAGCCCAAACGGGCTCTCGTGTGAGGGGGCGTGATGGAGTATAAAACATATTCCTGGGCCTCAACCATTAGCTTAAGCTTTTGGTTGAGTTGAATTGGTCCTTTAACATAATTAATTGTATTAACTGATTCAACTAGATATATAGTTATATTACATACATACTTTGACTAACTATACTCTTGAAAGTATCTACTCCTGTATGTAATTTACAATTAATGTTGAAAACATGGAACAACTCTTTTAAAAAAATAATTTAAGCAACTTTTTAAAATTAGCTTGATGAACTTTAATAAGATGGTTAATCCATTTTTTATTTCCTGATCAAATATTAAAAAATAAGTGATTGTATAGTCTAACCATCTACTACGTAATTGGATAGCTACCAAAGGCTATAATTCGATTAATGATCATTTTATCAAATGAAGTCCAAAAGCTATAGTTGATTTTACCTTTACACAATAGCATGATACTCCCAAAAATCTCAATCTCAATGAGGAAGAATAAAGTCGAGCAAAATCCAATGAATAATGAATATATACTCATTACTGTCAATTTAAAATACAATTTTTTTAGTTAAGCTAGAACAATAATGAATGATTAATTTAGTAATTGCATTAAGATCATGTTCTTTTCAACAGATTTATGTTAATTAAACTGAACTGAAATTAATTTTATTGAACTGAACTTAGTATTGCTAAATTGAACAAATTTTATTTTTACCGATTCTCTATTATATTTCTCTTTCAAAGTTACTGATTTTTATTGAACTGAACTTATTTTTGTTGAATTGCACTTGTTATTACTAGATATCGTTTTTTTAAAGTTAAATAGATGAAGGCCTAAGTTACTACTATTACATAAAATTTTTACGAAAAACAATAAAAATAAAAATATAAAAATATAAAAATTAATGTTGCAATAACTAAAGAATGTTAGCAACTACTCCGTATTATCTACTCATAGGCGTATAGCATTGTACTTCTCCTAAAAAATCAATCATTTAAGAATATCCATAAATTGCCAAAATAACTGAATAAAAAGTATTACACCATAAAATAAGAACAAGGGTCAATAAACTATTTGTCCACATTCTTTCCAATCTCACTTCAAAACCTCTAAATCAGTCTCTAAATTTTTCCGTCTCAAGTTTACCGGCCATGTCTTCACCGGAAAACCACCTTTCTTTCTCTCTCCTTCTCATTTTCTCTCTCCTCACTCTCACATTTTCCCAGTCCCTCTCCTCGGAAAACCACCTTCTCCTACCCAGCAACCGGAAATTCGGCCAAGACGACCAACTCTTCTGCGAAAGCTGGCGGTTTTCCGTCGAAACTAACGACGCCGGTATTTGGTACACCATTCCAACCCGATGCTTTGACTTCGTGAAAAACTATGTTACCAGTGACCGTTGTCGGACTCCGAAGTTGTCGCCGGAGATGAGTTGGCATTCGCGAAGTCTGTTGATGTTTCCGGCGATGGGAAGGATGCTTGGATTTTCGATGTTGATGAAACTCTTCTCTTCAATTTGCCTTATTATGAGGATCATGGATATGGGTGAGATTTTCTGTTTTTAATTTTGCAATTAAATTGATTATTCTGTTTTAATTGATTCAAATTTGGTATATATTGGTTATGACTGTTATTGTTGGTTATTTTGTCATTAATATTGTTGGAAATAAAGAAAGGAAATTCAAAGGTTCAGATATGGGCGCCCGATCGACCGAGCGAGACCTGCCGATCGGGCGCGAGTAGAATCGTAAAATTCTGGAGTTCTGCCGCCTATCGGGCAAGCTCCGCCCGATCGAGCGCCCGACCTGGCGCCCGATCGGGCGAGACCCGCCCGACCGGGCGCGAGAAGACGTTTGGAAAAAAGGGAGTGTCCGCCCGATCGGGCGAGCTCCGCCCGATCGGGCGCGTGTTTGTCCATTGGACTCCAACGGTTCCCTTGGATTCCTCTTCTTGTTTGATTTCTTGTAACCCCCCATTTAAGAGGTTGATTATGGTGTTTTTAAAGACCATAATATTTCTGATTTTCTCTTCTTTGTTCATAGAAGATTCCTCCATGAGCTTTCATCTTCTTTATTCATCTCTATAAATTGGAGGATGTTTTCTGATTTTTACATACACAAGAAATACATATCAAACACAAGCTTGCTTAAACACATACTCTATATTGGGCATAAGTTACTTGGCTCCAACCTTCCACCCAAAAGTGCCTTTGTGTGGAAGTGGTGTGTTAACCTTAGGGAACGTGCCGGCGAATACAATAGTTCACCCCGATTGCGCCGGAATTTCGTTTTCAAGTCAGTGATTTGCATCACGACATACCGTACTCTTTCATTGTCACGAGATCATTTTTTCGATCTCCTTATTTTAGAATATAGCCTTGAAAATACTTCTTATATTACAACAAATATTAGTAATTTTTATGAAGATAACAGCAAATTTATTGATTATCTGTTTATATGCATATGATTATAGCTCAATACATTTTATTAGATGATGTTAGGAATTGGTGTGAAGAAGAAATTACCACATTTTTTTGTTTGTTTATGGAGAAATTGTACTAAATTAGACTAAGTTATGCTAGTTTTGGAGATTCTGATGCTGGATTTTGATATTGGGAATGTCATAAATGAAATTGGGCATGAAATTGTTATGTTTTGTGGACTTGTGGTTAGAGGTTTTGATCAAGTGTTTGATTTGATGGCGAATCTAGTGTTCGAGAGAGGGTTATATTTGAAAGTTCATAGGATCAATGTATCCGTTTTTATGCTGATGGGAGTTGTATATTGATAGTTAAGTCTATCACAGATTCATAGCAATGTGCAATGTATGTGTCTTCTTCAATTCTTCTTTTGCTCCTTATTTTATTTGTATTAATTAATTAATTAATAATACTGGAATTTATTGTTTTTATAGTACTATATGCTAATCACTCCATTGAATTTTTATTTGTCAGTAGTAGATTAATTTTTTTTATTTGTCAGTAGTAGATTAATTAATATCAATCAAATTTGTTAAGTGTTAGTTTTTCGGACCCTATTTTTTTGTTGTTGTATGTGATCATGAGTGAATGGTTGATTACTGTGATAAATATTATGAATGAAATCTTATTTGTTTTTGTTAGTTTGTGTATGAATTTTTTGTAGTTAGAAAAACTCTCAACTCCAGTGAGAAAAGTTCTTCCCTTTTGTCTTTCTCTTTTGCTCCTCTCTTTTAGTCCCCTAAATTAGCTGGAAGTATTATACAGGGTACTTTTTATGATTTAATTGTGGCTCCGGCGATGCTCCTGATTATCATAAGTTTATGAGTTTGATCAGAATAATGTTTTTAATTAACCAAAAGTAATTTAAATAGGTTAATGTCATCTTAAATTAGATTATAGATTATTGTGCAATTTTTAGGAGAATTTTAAGTAGGGAGGTTTTACATATACGTAGATGTTCTAAGTGAAATAAGAATTATTAGGCGCTTGGAATGGGGGTAATAGATTAAGGGGTAATAAAAGTCAAAATAGGTAAATTAGAGTAAACATAGGAGAGAGGGAGCTTGTGAAGATGTGATTAAAAGAACCTTTATGTAGTGGTGGATTGGTGATAGGTGAAGAAAGAGAACTATTACCCTCATTTAGGGGGTAATAGGTTGCACTAGGGGGAGGTGGGTAATATTACCCTCATTTTGAGGGTAATGATTCCTCCACCTCCCTATTTATTATGTCACTACAACCCCAATTCATGACATTGTGCCCATACAATAATACCTCTAATCAACTATAATTTACTTAGTTTGACTTTTATTGTCCCCTAATCTATTACCCTCATTCCAAGCGCCCCCTAAAATGACTTACTAAAGGAGAAATAAACTTTCATCTAAAATGTGGATTGCAACAAATGTAAATAGCATAAAAGTTGGACAAATGTAATTAGCACAAACAAAAAAATACTCGCACACATTAACATGAATGAAACTTTTAAGCTACACAACAATAATAATTTACCTCCAACTGATCAAAGGGTTACTAATATAGAATTACAAAAATTGTCTAATAATAAATAGGAATCGATAGATGACCAAATTTATTCCACATGGCAAAAGTAAGTGTAATCAGTTACCTAAATTAAACACATTTAAACAATGTTATTTAGTTCAATTATTCAATTCAATCCAACAAATTAGCTAGCTAGAAACTAATGATTTGTGGTGGTTTCAGTGGTGGTTTTGTGGAGTTGTGTGGTTCTGGTTTCGTGGGTGGTGGCTTTGGGTGGCAGTTTTGTGGCGGTTCTGTGTTTAATTGTGGTAGTTTTTTGGGTTGGATTAATCATTTCCTCCCCTCTCACTACTAATTACATGCCCTTATTTTTCAATTATTTGTGTGTAAAAAAATATAAACAAAATTACATGCCCTTATTTTTCAATAATCATGTTTAAGATTTTTTACCTTGGGTTCTGCATTGCACACACCCCATTTGTGCAGATAATCGTTGACAAAGGAAGTATGAAAGTAATGGATTCATCCAAAATTTCTATGAGCACAACTACTGAAGAAGCTAAACAGGATTTAATCAGTAATCTGCCAGCTATCGCGACAGATAAAATTCTGAAACACTTGCCTATCAAGATGGCAGCCAAGATGAGCGTGCTATCAAGAAAATGGAGAGATAATTGGCTGTCTCAAAAACACCTTGTCTTGGACAAAACTTTCTGGGAAAGAGATAATCATGGCATCAGCAAAACTTTCTGGGAAATAGATAAGCGAGAAGATAAGTATGGCATCATCAGCAGTATACTCTTCCATCACAATGGAAATATACATGAATTCCATCTTTTTCTTCCACAAATGACCCGTATTAAAAGCATTCATCTCAGTCAATGGTTATCGTTTCTTTCCAAGACTAATACCGAAAAACTAGCTCTTATAAATTCTAAGTCTACCTACATCATGCCCATTTCTTCTCATATATACTTATGCAAAGAGTTGCTCAAATTGAGACTCGAGCATTTAGCTCTGAATCCTCCTCCTCGTTACTTCAATGGTTTTATGAAACTTCAGAGTCTTGAACTATACAATATTACATTCAAGAATAGTTCTATGATTGCGAGTTTGATTGCAGGTTGTCCAAGGCTGATAGTTTTAAAACTCCTTTGTTGTAGCTTTAACTTGGATCACCTTACTATTGATCTACCTAGTCTTGAAAGCCTAGTTATTTCTGTAAAGAGGTTAGGATGTCTTTGTTTCAAAAGCATTGTAAGTCTTAATAACATCTCATTGTGTTTAGACAAAAGACCTGAAAGTCATCCAACAGTACTCAACTCGATTAGGGATCTTGCAACTTCATGTCAACTTCAATACCTTCATTTTGGGGGCCATTTGTGTGAGGTACAATCTTATTGCTTTTTATTTTATTTATTTGATATATAAAACTTGTTCTTTAATTTGCTATAAATTGTTAGTTCCATCATTCATATTCAATCTCGTCTCTTTTTGGATGGCTTGGTTGTGCAAGCATTTGGCTGCAGGTGGTGTAACAAAATCGCTTCCTCTATCATTCAACTACCTCAGTAAGCTTTGTTTGACAACAATTAAAATCAATCGCGTAAATGTGTATCATTTTGCTATTGGCATGGTGAAGAGTTGTCCTCGCATCAAGGATTTAGAAATTTTAGTGAGTATATCCAAATTAAAAAAAAAAAAAAAAATAGCAATTAATATTCAAAACTATTTTGTTGATCTGTGCTAATTAATATATCAAAAGACTTCCATTTGATTGTGTTTATTTTATACTTCAGATTCGTAATGAAGGCAAAGCTGTTATTCAGCATGAAATTGATTTCGATTACAGGATTGACAGCTACAAATTAGGCCACCTTACGAAGGTGGAATTTACAGGCATAACAGGAACAATTGCAGAGCTGAAATTCATTGAGTACTTGCTTGCTGTCTCAGAAGTGTTAGAACTTTTTCTCTTTAAGTGCAATAATCTTGATGCCACTTCAGAGCTAAAGCTGTCAAGAGATCTGTTGCGACTCCGAAGAGCATCAACAAAGGCTCAACTTATTTGTATGGAGCAGCATAGGATCTAAAAATGTAGTTTTGAGTTCTCAGTATTGTTGGTAGCTTATTAAGTAATGTTATATCCTTTTATGGAAGATAAACCTATTTGTTCTCAGCTTAAGTACCCGAACATTTGTTCTTTTCGAGTATGGAAATTTGATGCAGTTTAGAGCTAAAGATGTCAAGAGATTTGTTCAGGTTCCAAAAAGTTATATATTTGTTTGGATTGTCTGCAAATGCTTTGACTGAGATGAGAAATAATATTAACATGTACTGATATATTATTAAGATTTGAAAAAATACTGCAGAATGAAATTCCATTACAGTATAAATGCCATCTTACTAATGCCAATATTTACCTTAGAATGCAAAGTTTCCTGTGAATCAAATGACAAACCTATTAAACTAAGCAAGATTAATAAATTAACCTTAATTAAGCCTATATATACATATATGATTTGATATTCACACTGCTGCAGGCCTTCCGTCTTTTCTCGGGTCACTTACACCAGTAAGTTTACCAAAGTATGTGTTACCAATAAAATTCTTTCCTGTTTTCCGGCCTAGATCAACTGAACTTTCGAATGTCTGAACAATAAGTTGACAGATTGCTCCAATTTCGATAGCCTTTAGCTGGTGACCTCTCTTCTCCAAGAAAATCCTCGGTCCTTTGGAGAGTTCAATGTGCTCCCCGTCAATCACAGTCACATTCTCATATAAGACTTCATTTGGAATTAGCTGCAGAACATCAATTTTCAGGTTGATCATTATAATTCAGCAAAAAGATTATGTTTTGGATTTTATCAGCTATTTGAAATTAATTCTGAATTCTGATAGTCTTTCAGATGAATTATATGACAGCAAATAAAACGAGAAAAGTAAAAACCTTATGGTAGACTCGTGCTCTTTGGACAGAGGTAAGAGGATCCATTCCCAGAACAAAATGGTTTAAGAAAACCTGGGTTACTGCTGGAATTATGTTCATCCCACCACTACCACCTATAACTCCGGCCAATTGATCATCCTGTCAATTAACCAAACAAGAAACATGATCAAAATTCGCAAAAGAAAAGAAGGTTGAAGATATTAATACAATGCTGTTCGTTTATCTTAGCTTAAGAATGATAAGGGGAGTCATCGAAGACAAGGGTCTTTTCCCTGGTTGTATGAAATTTGCAGGATCAGGAGGAAGACTGTCAGGACTTGCTTCTGCAGGAGTTGAAAAATCACCCATCTCATCGTTTAACACGATCCCAGTAGAAGGGGATAATACCCCTCCTCCAAATGGATAGTTAACTGTTGTTGTCACTGACACTGCGTTCCTCTCAGCATCAACGATGCAGAAATGACTCGTTCCATGATCTTGTAGCTGACTCCACCTACATAATTCAAGCATACATTTAAACTTTAAGACCATCCCAGTTTTTTTTTTTTTTTCCTTTTTCCTTCAGGTAGTTAAGATATCCTGCCTTTAAATACCTGCTCATGTAATATTCAGGAGGGAAAGTTGTGTTATCGTATATCTTATGCCAAATTCCCTCTGCAAAAGATGTGGAAGTCATGTCTGATGTATATTTAGTGATGTTAACAAAAGCAGGATCACCCAAGTTCATTCGGACTGCAAACATATGCTTCATTGCCTCGATCAGTCTGTGTAAGCCTAAAGGCCCTTCAATTGCATTAGGGCTCCCATAGTTGCTTAGTATGTTTAATACTTTAATATCTGTTATACACCAGAAAATGAAAAGAGGATTCCTTTCAAGCAATACTATCAAATATACAAATAAGCTGATTCTAGCAGTAGACATGATTTTTACAGATGTTTGATCTAATGCAATAAGATACCAGAGTACTTAAGATCGAAAAAGATACAATAAGCATCGGCTAATTGCATGATATCAAAGCTGCAATATCTGAAACCTCACTAACAGTTCAAAGTATCGTAGATTGGTAAGAGAGTGTTTCTAGAAGACAATTTTAAAGCACGTTTTTCATGCATCAACCAGCAGTAGCTAAAAGCACTTACCAGGGTCATTCCCAGGGTACCGCTTGAAGGAGGTGGCATTCCGAGTATTTTAAACCCCATTACATCAGCTAAGCATTCGTTACCTTCACTTTGTGATTCCTAAGATCATCCTCTGTCACCTCTCTCACATCCTTCACTAACTTCTTACCAACGAGCCATTGTACAAGGCTTGTGGCCCTTGTTCTGCTATTGCCTTTAAGCTTTTTGCAAGCTTAAGATTGTAGCATACATCGTTTGTCTTCAAGAGCTTCTCGTTTGGTGCAAACACTTGCCTTAAGCCAGGATCAGCCCTGATTTTATCCTCATGTTCTAATAGGTTCTTTTCTAAATAAGGAAAAACTTCAAACCCATTTTCAGCAAACTGTATAGAGGGTTCGAATAGTGTTTTCCATGAAAGCCGGCCAAACTTCTTCCATGCTTCATGGAGCCCAGCCAACTCACCAGGTACTCCCATCGATAAGGGGCCTGAAAGCTTCGCCTCATGATTACTGTCGTACATGTTCTGTTTTTGTTAACAAAAACCAATATACTGTCAGTACTGAGTAACAACACAGGGACCAAAACCTTTGTTACGTAGAATATGTACTACTCTCTCTAGTCCTATATGATAGACCGACCAAATGTTTAAGGGTTGCTAAGGATCTTACTCAACCAGCACCTCTCACAGATTAAATCAGCTTAATGCTTGAGAGTAGAGATGGGAGGTAAGGGAATCCCCCTACTCTCAAGCAAGTGTAGTTGGTGGGGCGGCTTTAAATTGTGACTTCAAAGTCACACTGTGAGTTCCCCACCAACTTCATGAAGCTCCTTTGATGCTTGGCTAAGTGGGCCCAACTGCACAGGTCAACGCTTGAGAGTAGAGAAGAAAACTAAAACTTGTGACTCTATCACGTAGTGAGTTCTCCACCAATCATGCTTGGTTAATGATACATTCGAGATTTGATGCAAACAGAACATACCTCTTTCAAAAAGCAGTAAAGAACAATCAAGATTATTAAATTAATTCCAATATAAATGTATAAAACTACCAAACTACTAATCAAAATCAAGCAATTAGATAAAACAGTAGCAAGAAGGAACCTCAAAAGCAGCTGAAGGAGCAGTTTCTCTCATATCAAAAGCCAGAGCTTCTGATGTTGTGGCAGACCTGACAACCATGAAAGCTCCTCCTCCTATCCCACTAGCCATGGGATTAACCACACCCACACACACCGCAGTTGCAACTGCAGCGTCCACAGCATGACCACCTAGTCGGAGCATCAATGCTCCCACCTCTGAACAACGTCGATCATCTGCTGCGACAATCCCATTCTTTGACTCCACAATCTCAGGTACATCAACCTGTGGTTTTCCATTGAACTTTTGTTCATTCTTTACCAACCAAGAAGTCTTTGTACTCCCAAAAGCAAGGCCTATAATAAGGCATTTGCAAAAGAGAAGGATTAAGTTTGTTGGAACTTTCATTTGATTGTGTCAACTTAGAAATAAAATTGCAATTCTTAAAGATTACTAGCATAATGCAATGTATTTATACTGATTAAAATCCATTGACAAAAAAGTCTAAGATTTCATGCTAATGATTTAGTGATGAGTACTGAAAAGTCACAAGAACTTCAAAGTCAATAAAATCAACACATTGACATGAAGTTACTTAGATCATACAAATTATTAAAACAAAGGGATAAAGGATAATGGTTGGTTATTACAAACGGTGGATGATATCTTGATTTTGACATTATCTTTATTATTGAAAAATTTAATATGAGTTATATTATTGATTATTTGATATGAATTAGAGTGATAGAAACAAGTTAATTACATAATTTGAGTATAATGCTTGATCAAAATTTCATGATTCTATAAATAACTACTCACGTAATATATTTATTTATTGAAGGAGTGTCCAATCTAAGATAACTTATGGAGTATAACTTCATAAGGACATAAGGTGGTGTTTAAAAGAGTACTTATGGAAAATTAGATGGTATTCTGAGATGTACTCCATCAGCTCTAAAGTGGGAAATTTGACTTTTCAAGGTCACATGTTTTTTTATTCCCCGTAATTTTTTAAGATAATACTAGCATACTATATTACTAATTTACTACCAGTATGTTACTCGTATTGTAGTATAATAAATACAAGTGTTTGGGTCCAATTGATCTAATTGGGCCTAGTCATTAAATAATCCAATATTCCAAGGTCAAGGCACAAGCCTCCAATCAAGCCAAGTCAGTCATGAGTCATTTGGTCCAAATTGCTATGGTTAGTCCATGATTATTTGGGGCCCAATTGCTCTCCTTTCTTTACATGCAAAGGTATAAAAGCCTTCAATTAATTCATTTATGATATACACAAAAGCCTCAAGCATTAAATCTCTTGCATAGCTTCCTCTCTAAAAACACTGTTTGACTTCGGCATCGGAGGGTTCTTCCTCGGATCCTCCCCCGGGGCCAGTTTACGTGTGTTTGCTGTGCAGGTAACCTTCGGCCCAGCATCCTTTGGACCGGACAAGTCTTCATCCACTTCATTGGACCTTCGGCAAGGTCCTATTGTTTTCATCCGAAACAATTTGGCGCCGTCTGTGGGGAAGATTTTCAAAAAATCTTTAATCCAATCAAAATCATCTTGCAATCATCTTAGTAGCAATGGCTAAGAATCGCAAGAACAAAAGACTAAGTCAAGGAGCGGGCGAAAGGCCTAAAACTCCTACACCATCACCTTCGCCGGACTAGAACTCTTCTAAGGGTGCTAGTTCGGGGGGAGGGTCATACCGGGAGGATTCCCTTTCTCCTGTAATTCACAACTCTCATCATAGACCGAGTCCCCCTCGGTCTAACAGAAGTCAGTCCGATCATAGGACTCAATCAGTGCCCCAAAGCCAACCTTTGACCATCCGCTCTCACTCTCACACTCAGCCGAGGACCCCTTTGACGGGGCCCAGCTCGGAAGAAGTGACGAGAGCGCTGGCGGTGCTTATGGAGGCAATGAGGGCACAAAATATGCCTCCACCTCGTGATCGAACTCCTCCGCATACCAGGCATCAGCGGAGGAAGCTCGACCAAGATGGAGGAAGCCTCCCTACTTCCAGGAGCTGGAAGAGTGGGAAGAGGATACTTGGAGGACTGAGAGAGAGAGGAAAAAGAACTCTCAATTTTTCAAAGGATCCTCTACCTCTCGGCCAGAAACGCATACGAGCAGCAGCTCAGCCTC